GTTTCATAGGTAATGATTCATTAATTTTCTGTAAAATAATTTTCTGGATATATACCTCGGTTACTTCTCTCCGGCTCCTTTGGAGATCTTCAAGCCTTTCCTCCTCTGCTCTCACCCCGCTGGCACCCCTCCCTCGCCTGGCCCTAGCTGCACGGCCTCCTGCCTTCGCCCTCGTCCTCTCCCTCTCCCTCGCGTTGTAACCCCCGTGCCACCAAAATGACTTGGACTCTGTAAACGGGGAATATATATTCTTCCAGCGAACACAATCTCGCTGTTAAACTAATGACTACAATTACTTCGTCTGTTTATATCACCATGCAAAGCAGCTCACCAAAACGTCACAACGACGTAGAAAAAATAACGGGTATATTTATTATCTTAAGTCTACATGAAATCTATACCCTACACAGACTAATGAAATACTATCTGTAAAATTATCTATGTAAACAAACCTCATCACTTGAGAAGGTAGGTGATGTGGACGTCGTGGAAGACATTTTGTCCCGTAACGCTCGCCGTACTGTTGGGGGGGAGAAGCGGTGGGGGGGAGATGTTCATGTTGCTGCGGTCTGCAGTCTGACCGCTAGATGTCTCTGAAAATTACACACTGTAGCTTTAAGAGACCTGGGTTATGTTATTAAATACTGACAAAGAATAAACAAAAGTGACCAAAATAAATATAACAAATAAATAAATGCCCCCCCACCGCCGCCGCCGCCCCCGCCCCCGCCCCCGTTTCCTGCTTTGACCTGAGTTATTACTTTGAAGTTGCTGGCCCCTCAGCATTTTTCTCTCAATTGTTAGAACTACGTGGGAAACTGCCCAGAACTGAATATATATATTTTCCGAAGATTCTTCGGAGGAGAGCCGCGCCGGGGCCTACACAGCTCGTACTCCTGCGGCTGTGAGCGGCTGAGATGATAAAAAAAAAAAGTTGGTTGTGTTACCAGACTTCGTTTTCACTGGTTCCCTACACATTTTAAAGATGACTGTGGTTTGTTTTTGGTCCGACTTGCCATGACCGAAATACTGCCAAACTGCCGAACTACAAAAACCCTTCTTTGAAACAATTTCCTCCGCCTCTCCTTGCTGCGACATCTTCATGTGCTCTGTGTTGTGGTTTGAGAGGGCGGCGCTTGGTGACGTCGTGCCTGGGTCCGCGATTGTGATTGGTTGGGAGGAAGCAGTGACTAGCATAAACCTACATGCTAGGCCACAATGAGAAGGAAGGAAAACTGCGTTTCTTTTTTATCGAACTTTTATCGACCCTCTTTTTTTCTATTGCGCCACACGTCTATCGATCGATATATATCGTTATTGAATTATCGCCCAGCCCTACTGCTTCATAACAAAGACAACAGAAGCTTTATAAAAGGTAAAGATATGATAAAAGAACAAAAAAAAACAAACAAAGCACAATCATCTAAAATCTTGCCTAAAAAGCAATGTCAGCATTTGACACAGAGTCCTAAATGCAAAGGGACAGAGGATGGTCACTCCAAAATCTTAGAGTAATAGCTTGGATGCACAAGTCTCCTTTTTAAAGGGGACCCTAAGAACCATGAGCATTTTCTGAGAGGGAGCCTGTACAAGACACCATAGGGACCCATAGAAAAGCAGAAGCCTACTCCTTTAGGGACGCATCCCAACCCAGATCGGTAAGGAAAAAAAGCCCAACACGGAGTAATGAGAACTCAGGCTGCTAACACCCCCTCCCCAGCATAGGCAATCTAGGCATACTCCTACATTCAGCCAGCTTCTAAAACCTATAATACTTGGACAATCAGGTTGAGAAGCTGTCCCCCCATCCCTCCCCCTTTTATTGGCAGTGTGCCTGCCCTGGGAGGCAAAGCACCTGTAGTATGTAAGATGCCGACAGACCTCCTAGCATATTAGGCACCAGAGCAAGCACTACTCCACAAACTAGGCAGCATACCAGCCCAGAATTAAGCCCACCACTCCCTGGGGATCCTGCTCAAGCACACAGCCAGGAACCCCAGGCCCCGAGCTTACCCCAGACGCAAACCAATGCAACACAGCTGCCACACTAGTAACCCGTGTCTCTTGGTGCAGACTTCCAAAGACCACAAACTTAGACACCAGAAGTCACACTCAGAGACCCCCTACTACCCCTGGCAGTAGCCATGCCTGCACATTAAACCTCCCCAAAACCAAACCTTCAGTTCCTGAAACATATATGCCTCCCAAATCAGCCACAACAACTCACAACCACGCTGAGCTGTTGCTTTACCGCTGTAGTAGATGCTGACCAGAAGATGTGGCTTGTTATCTGCAAGGCACTACATATTATAACTGCGAAGCATTGCAGAACGATAAAGCTCTATTAAATAGCTGCATTAATTCAACGTAACTGCCCGCAAATTATTAAACATCTGTCTATGTTTGTTCATTGTGGCCAGTGCAGGTATTCTATTTAGACTGAAAAAACTGTAAACATTGTCAGGATGGAGGCTTGGTGTTTATTACCTTATTTTATCATAAACATTGTTTTTCTGTATTTTTTGTATAAGCATATACAATAAGGTGAATATGCTCCATGAAGTTCAGTTGGTACTTTATTTTTACCAGGGTTGTTTTTTGTTTGTTTTTTAACACAGGTATCTGTACCTTTACTGAAATAACGAATGTTATTATATTTTTACACCTCTTTCTAGGCTTTGTTAAGCATTTTTGGCACTACAAACATCAAAGCAATAATTATTGTTGTGGATTTGTTAATCACATCATCGGTAGTACTAACAATATTTATTCTAAGAGTTTGTTCTCAAAGATAAATACAAAGCAAACAATGTCTGGATAGTCTGAACCTGTTGTGTAGAATACTACAAAACTCATATCTATTGAGTATCATTTTAAAGACACTATAGTTTAATTTACTTATATATATATATATATATATATATATATATATATATTAGTGCTGTCAAAATTATCGCGTTATTAACGCGTTAACGCGAGGCCATTTTAACGGCGATAATTTTTTTAACGTGAGATTAACGCTATGTGGTTTTATGGTACAATTTTTCCAAGTACATCCCGCTGCAGCCTGCGGGAAGGCGGGGCTATTTTCCCCCAGTCTATGCATTTCTCATAGGCTTCTAGAGCGGAGCTCCTCAAGGGAAAAAGACGCTCATACACTGGGTGACGCTAGTGCCTTTTCTTTAAGCCCCACCACCAACAAACAAGTTGAGTGTCTGGTAACTAGTAGCAACCTGAAATACGCTGAGAAAACTGATTACTGAGGTGAAATGGAATCTCGTAGCAGCCCTCTTGCCGTCTGTGTACGCAACAGGTCAGTATCGCGTGTGTGTGTGTGTGGGTGGGTGTGTCTGTGTGTGGGTGGATGGGTGTGTGTGTGTTCTCATTTTTGTTAAGAGCCTGAAAAGTAACTTTCTAGAGCATAGACTACCTTCATCTAGTAATGTCGGTCTATTGATTTTGATGTATTGATTGAAAATTGTTCATTATTACCTTGGTTAATTAACATCTAATGTTAACTCTACTGCATTTTATAGCGGTAGGGTAAAATGCTTGTCTTTGTTCAAAAGACTGTATTAACTGTAAAGACTGTCTTTTACATCAGCCTGTTTTCAGGGCCTTTTTTTTGCCTACATATTTGTTATTTTTTGCTACATGCCTCCCCATCTTCTTGCCATATGTTTCTATGGCATAAATCAGTATCTGTGACCTGTTTTCATTTTAAAAAAAGAACATTGGCACAAACCTAGCCTGTATGTATTTTTTTGTATGTCATCGAGAGTATTTAAATGATTTTCAATCAGGAAAAAAATGTGCGATTAAAATGCGATTAATCGCGAGTTAACTCAGGCATTGATGCGATTAATCGCGATTAAAAAATTTAATCGATTGACAGCACTAATATATATATATATATAAGTAAATTAAATTACTATGTAAATCTATGTAGGGGTGGAACGGTTCACAAAATCCGGTTCGGTTCACGGTTTCGTGGTCACGGTTTTCGGTTCGGTATATGTTGATTGTTCCACCGAAATCCCATAAAAATTAATGAAATTAATGAAAACAAAAAATTATGAATTGTAATTATTTTTAATGATCCGCGGAAACCCTGGATTATTTCCGCATGTTTTGCTGCTTTGAATTTAATCATCTCCAAGGAACTCAGAGCGGAGCGGATGGGAGCCACAGCAGAGGCTGTAGGCTTTGCTTTACGCAGGCGGTCTGGAGCACAGCAGGGCGGAGCGTTGACGGAGTATGTGGGATTTCGGGGTTAGCATGACATGTTGGTCGTGTTGCTGTTAGCATAAACAAAACGTGTTGCACAATGCTTGCACACTATTGCACTTTTATCTACAACTTTCTTTCCGCCGTCATCGTAGGTCACTCTAAATGCAAAGCGGTCCCATACAGCAGACCTATAAAGTGCTGCTGGCGCGTCTTCCAACTCCTGTTCTTTCTCACTCGCCATACCCACACAATTCTCCACAACAACAGATTTTTTTCTGCTACACCCGGCTACGATGCTTTGCTTCTTCTTCTTGTTTACTACTGGTGGTTGGCTTTGGTCGCAGTACCGCCACCTTCTGCTCTGGAGTCGCGCATGAACCGAACGCAACACACGCGAATCGAACCGAGACAGTTGAACCGAACGGTTCGGACGGTTTTCATAAACCGTTCCATCCCTATTTCTATGGCTACATCTGTATAAAGGCCAGTACCTGTTCCTACGTTAGTCAAATACAATACAAAGTATTTAATGCATTAATGTCTTTAGGAACACAGCATTGTTGGGTATACATCATACAATTCAGACTGTAAAACATGTTAAGAAAAAATGGGACAGTTTCTTAATTGCTTTACTATTACAAACTCCTGTCCTATTTTGCCTATTCAAAAACAGTGCGACTCATCCAGAGCACTTCTAAGTGGATTAGATCATGTTTGATCGATTCAAACTTCCACCAGCCTTTCTTAATATAAAAAAAAATTGGACTTACATAGTCATCATATGATTCATGTGTGACTGCTAACAGCGGGGGCCTGTATCCAGCGTTTGCTGTTGCCCCCCTGGCCCTCGAAGCCTGCAAATCCCTTGTAAGGACTGTTGTGGGAAGTTTGCTGTGTGTGGATGCAGCTGTCCCTCGAGGAGCTGCTGCTCTTCTGCTTACACCTCTGTGGCCCCTGCACAAACAAACAAGCATACAAAAAGGGTATTGACTCAGAATATTGCCTCACAGAATTTTTATTTTATCATAAAAAGGTGCTGTTATTTTTGTGGAAAGGTGGAATTATGATAATAATAAATCCCTCACATCTCTATAATCTTGACACACATGTAGCATGACCACAACATTGTGATTTTGATATATATATATATATATATATATATATATATATATATCTTAGGCTGTGTATAAAAAGTATAAGCGCATGCACCAGCGGAGTTGAATGAATCTAGGCCAGATTGTTTCTTTAATAACAATGTGTCTGTCCAGCATTTCTACAACAGAGCACTTCTACTACAGAGGCACCGCAGCACCTGCAAGGTTACAGTGTGGTTAATTCACATTTTAACATCCTCTAGTAGGTGGGATGGGACAGCTAATTTCCCTCAGGGCCATCTTCCTTTAGGTAGCAACACACTGGCATCCAAAATATAAATACTCAAAAGCTGAATTTCTGGTAGGATATTTTTCATGGAGCTCTGCAAAAATTGCTTATCGTTACAGTATGAGGAGAAAATCATGGAGAGAAGTGGCAGCAATGATTTTTTTTTTTTTTATGTGTGTGAATTGGGAGCAGCCACAGCAATGCTAGATTTAGCTTCTGCTTAAATCAGGCCATGCTGTCATGGCACATTGTGCCTTAGTTCTCCTGAGGGACTGCCACAGCTCAGGTGGATTACGGACAAATTGCTTTAAAGGTGTTTCATGCAGGTAGCTGAATACATGGCAAAGTCAATCAAAAACTATTTTCTGGTGCTGCTTAGATCTCCAGAGCCTGGTTATGTGGAGGGGAGGACTGAATGATTAAGTTTTAGAAAATGCCTTTTTTATACCTAAATACAAATCCCTGGAGGAGATTCCAAAGAAATTTAATTGAAATGTGTAAAAAAAAAAGTCTACAGGACCACTTAATCTGAAATTCCACCATGAAGGTGGAAACTCCATGTTTTGTTATTGAAATATATATAAATTTTACAACATCTTGTTGAGCCCAAGAATATCCTTAAGACCAATGGCCTTGAATATGGTCAATGAATGTCAGACTACTAAGAGACCACCCTAACCTCAGAGACCACAGGCATTCAGCATTTTCTTTTCTGTCTATTTTAGTCACACGATACACATAGGAGTTAGTTATTACCATAACCATTGTTTTTGAAAACAAGGATGGTCTAGTCATTTATCCTATGACTGTACAAGGAGACTTAATTTCTGTAATGGCGATTAAGATATTCTTAAAAAAGGATAAAAATATATTTTTAACATACATTGTAAAGAACAACAGCCTACAGAATTTGTCCAAAAAAAGCAAAGTTAACAATTTGTTTAAGTAAATATACTCTAATTGTATTCATAAAGTAGATCTACTTTTAATTGCTATAGAACATTGAGATACATTAAGTAAAGTCTACTAAACATTTCTGGATATGTTTTAATGCTATAACCTCAAAAACTAATGTAGAAACACTGAAGTCCAGAATCAAACCCTTCTCACTGCATGCCAGTTTTACACAGAAGTTTACCATCTAGGCTGCAGACGTTGTTTAAAAGAGTTAAAATATTAAGAATTTGTGATAGAATGAAAAGTAGCATAGAATAGTAAAACAGAATGAGCAGAAAATTTTACATCTTTGAAGTTCAAAACAGCTGGTAGATTTCTGGCTCCATGTTTAAAGTAAAAAAGGCAAACATAGCTAATGAAGCAAGATACACTTTGACTTGAAGTAACAATAGCTTCTGATTACTATAATGGACATGGTGGGTGTGTAATGTAATGCAATTAAAGGAATCTACATTTTGAATACAGGTCAAATATTCAAAAGAGAATATTTTCGAATCCTAATTTAAAAACACAATGGAACTTATTAGAGATCATGTGATTCATTGGCTTTATTTACAGATTTAATCAGGTTAAAATCTAAGTCCAGCCTTACATTGTGGATGCTGTGGTTGTTGTCCTTAGGGTCCTCCCTTGTGTGCTCCTCCCTCTGCTCGACTCATCAGATCCGTTCAGCAGGGATAACTCTCTCAGCTGCTCTTGCCTAATCTCATCATTGTAGTCCTGTGAAAACAAAAGGGATCATGTATTTCGTAAAAGAAAAGGAACACCTGACCTTTGGAATTTACAGTTATATTAGCAGCAAGTGAAAATGATCTTGACACACAAAAGAAAAACACACTGCTGTTAGGCATTAAATAGTTGACGAGCCATGATATCTTTTGTTTATGTGGTACACAAAGTGTAAGAGGTGGTTAATGATCTTGAAAAAGATATTAAGTATAATTTAAATTCTCCAGAGGGGCTGGGGTTTAAGTGAGTGCAGTAAAAAAAAATGAAGTAAAAATTCTATCAACGGTTTTACTAAATTGAAAAGTTTTATGCAGGCATAATAAAGTTATTTGTAATTGCAGCCATTCAAAATTGCCCTTCCCAGTCAAACACCAGCCGGATGACAGCCAACTTTCCTGCAACTCCCAACAGAATCCCTCCAACTTCCAGCCACTGGACTGACTCCCTTCTTCCCCTGCATTTACATATTTTTTAACTCTGACTACAACCTGTGACTAAATTACAGAGAGATGGCACTTCTCTTTAGATCTTAATGTTAACTCATAGACTATCACATTTCCTTGTATTAGAGAATCAAACCTTATCACAGATTATAGAAATTTTTATGATAGACCATCATATGATATATTTTAGGTTTGAAAAAACAAACAAACGTATAATGTTTTCAACTTGGTTTCACAATTAAAACATTTTAAAAATGCAGCATGAGTATGTTTTTAGCTTATCTCCAGAATCATTGCTTTGTAGAACCAACTCTTGCTCAATTACATGACTTATCTATAGGTATATCTCTACCAACTTTGCAGATCTACAGACTAATTTATTTGCAAGTGTCAAAATCAAGACCTGCAGGCAGGCCCAATCTGGCCCACCAAGGCAATTTATCTAGCTCTCAAGAGCTGAAAAATGTAAAATCTGTCATTAATTCGAGAGATATGTTCTTTTAAATTGTACAAAGATGCTAAAACTGCTAAATCAACAGTTATAATACCCTAGCAGTGTGCTCATTGCAATAAAATGATGAAATCTAAAGCTTAATTCAAACGGTGATTATGATTGTAACATGACTGTAGAAAAAGGAAGCAAAGGAAATTAAATGGGACGCAGATAAAGATCCTTTTATTAATATATTCTAGTAATAATACAAAACAATCTAAAATCTAGAATCCAAGAGTTTTGTTGCGCTGCCTCTTTTCTTTTTTTTAATGTTTTTGACACACACATACACAAACTTGACTGAGTATCCATAATGCGTAAATACCTAGTCCTGCACCCAACCTAAACTCAACCTCAACCTTTGAACTCTAAAACAGCAATTTCCCATATATGTACAGCAAAACGCAGTTCCCCCCTGATATACCTCACAAATTCCAAATGGGATGTCAAAAAGTTAAATGGACGGGTAACCTTAAAAGTTTAAAGATTATGAACAAACCTATATCTTTCAAATCCTTATGTCATTGACAAACTGAAAAATAAGTGTGGTAGAGTTCCAATACCTTTATCAAGGTTCACATGTGCTCTTTTTACTAATGAGCCACTGAGGGCTCATTGTCGACTGGCGGGTTTGAAAGAGACTGGCAGACCTCTTAATAGAGAAGCTGACAGATTATCCCAAGGACAACAAAGGTGCAAGAGCTTGTCAAAACTGACTGTTGACAGAGGTGCTAGTATGAGTGCACAGAGATAAACTCAAACGCGGAGGCTTCTCGGGGCTGACTGTTTGCTCTCTTTGATTAATTCTGGCCATGCATGACCTTGGACAGTCTCTGTTCCCTTCTGGAGGCTAAAGTTAGACTTTATCAGGTCAATGGAGGAAGTGTGGTGATACAGGGAACCGCTACTGTAGATTTTGTACTGCCTTGTCTTTAAGCTCAGCCATATAAGCTTAACATTTACAGAAATACTAAATCAATTTAGTAGAATGTCAATATCCTTTGTTTCTTATTACCGAGCCTTTGATATTAGTTGCTCCCATGGACGATGCAAATAATAAAAAAAGTTGAATACTTTTCATTGCATTTAGCATATATTTTTTAATCACTTACACTTGAAGAACAGGATAAAATATGCAACACTAAATAAAACTTATTTCATTACAAATGGATAATGTGACATTTGTTTAAATTTCTTGTTGTTTTAAACAAATTTATAATGGGTGTCAATAAAGGAAAGCAATTAATGAAGGAGCTAACAAAAACAGCTTTTTTGGTTTAGCAAAATCTTTTAGTTATTTATTCGAGCTGAAAATACAGAAAATATCCTCAGAAATGGGGTGGAACAGTAGATATTTTAACATGTCTATCTAACTCCCAAGACCTCACAAAATGTACAGCAATAAAATAGGTCAGGTTGAATCTGGAAAACCTACATGACTTGTGTTGAGGAATTTGAAAATACTGTTTTCTCATTAATAGCCAAATACAGGCAAGAGATGTGCACAAGTTAAATATTTAAGATATTAATATATGTAAAAATATTTAATGACATTTGAATCTAATGGTGTTTTTGGATAATCCCTTCATAAATTTTATATAAAACATTTTTGCCTCATTATGTACAGAGGAACTAATGCAGCTGTCATAACCTTGGTGCTGATGGCTGGCTTAATTGCTTATTCCATTCACCTGTCTAATTTGCCCAGTTGTTCATTACCTTTCATCTGGTCCACCTGGTCCCTGCTGCTACTGTATATATGCTGCCTGTTTGCCTGCCATCAGCGCCAGATTATTTGAGTTGTGTGTGTGAGAGTAACTCTAGCGATTCTATACCATCCTGATTTTCTGATCCTGACCTATTTCTGTTTTTGGAACTTTCGAGTTTTGCTTTGCCTCTTTTTCTGCTCTGCTCGTCTGATTTGTTTTGAACTGGTTCCTGGATTCTGCCGGCTTACCGAACCTGGAACTATCTTCTGACCTCGGCTTGGATTCTCCTCTGGTACCTCCTTGGCTCTCTGATCTTCTGGTCTGGTAACCTGTTTCTTTGGCTTTTGACTTTGGCTTTGGATTTCCCCCCATGGATACTGCTGTTCTACTCAGCTCATCACTTGGAACTCTGGGGGCGACTCTCATTGCAAGCTTTGGAGACACCTCCATTTTGGATTCTACTCTTTCCTTCGGGATCGGATTGAACTCAGAACCAGGTTAGTGACTTTTGCTTATAGTCGCGGCCCGTCTTAGATTCAAAGTCACCAACCTGAGTTTCTATTTCTACAGATTATCCAGTGTATCCGCCCCAGCTGATGAGCAGTCAAATGTTCTTGGTTTAATTAACACTTGTTTTGATCTGTCTGCTTGAATATTGGGTACTCAATTCCAAACTTATGACAGCAGCTCTCTCTCATTTTGTAGTTTTTTATTTTTTATTTTTTATCACAATTACAATAACAAATAAACACAATTCTGTTTTCTGATTTTTTTATTTTTTTTTTAGATTCAAAGTGAAAACAGAATAACTGCACTCTTTCTCATACAAACATTATAATACCTATTATGGCTTGATTAAGAAGTCGGTCCAGAACAAAATTTTGGATTAAAGAAATTACATATATATGTTAATGTCCTTATAACTAGAACCGATTCTGTCTCTTAAATTAATCCACAGTGTTTATTTTGCTCCAGCAGTAATGCAGCCGATGCTTTTATTCTGAAAGGCTCAGAGCAGGAAAGTGACGTGAATGGAATGTCACGGGGTGTATAGCAGTGGCGCGAACGCTGGCAGGCAGAGAGAAGCCATGTTTTAAAGTAAACGAGAAAAGGCGTGTTGTCACGGAATACTCTTGATTGGCAAAGAGTCCTTAGCACCTGGTTGATGAGGGAACAAGGTTCGTATCAGTGTTTGTTTTTACAATGCATATTTAGCCATATTTCACAGAGCTTACAGGTCTGCTAAGTTATATTCATTGTAGTTACTTTTTTTGTCCACCAAACGGTGCTAATTGTCTCTGTTAAGATTGTCATTCTTATTCAGCAATACAAATGTTTGTGAATAGCAAATTTATATACCAAGTGAAGTCACAGATGGCTACATTATAATGCATTTTCTTTTATTTTATGGTACAAGGCATTGTAAAATACTATATTAAAGGGTTTAATAAATATACATTGAAAAATATGGTGATGGCATTAAAATTTAAGGATTATCCAGATTAAAAAGGATTGTAATAATTTAAGGTTAAACTGATTCATGGTAAATTGATTATGTAAAAAGGGTAAAAGTCAACATACTGTCTGAGTTACTAATGTGGATTTTTATTTGTGTATTTTGTAGCTCTTACGGTGTGTTCACAAGCAAGGCAAATAAATAAAAAGGAATTGTGAACCATCAGTTTGAGAGACCATCTTTTCAACCGGACGCTACAGTAAGAGCTTGACCCCAAGCTGAGAAGAGCTTCTTTATAAGGTGAGACGAAGTTCATCCCACGCTCAGCACTGAGGTCCCAGTTAAAGACTTTTCAAGGTCATCAGCATGGAAGCATCTGAAAAGGAAACAAAGTACACAGAGAACCTCCAAGTTGACAGGGAAGAGGAACCTCCCTGCTCTGTTTGTCCAAGGAAACCAACAAAAAAAATGCAAGCATATTTGGAGGAAGAGGCCCATAAAAAGGAGAAACGTCTCCTTAAAGTTTATGATCAATGGAAAAAACAAATACGCTCAACAAGAGAACAACTAAAGGGAGATCTTCCAAATAGTCAAATCGCTTCACTCATGGACATCTTAGAGAAAGAAAGAGATGGTGTCATAAAGTTATATACAGAAATTAGGGAAAGCATTACTCCCTCTAGTGACACAAGGCGACTCATAGATGCATGTGAAGCAGTCACCAAAGACATTATCAAGGTCGCACATGAAAGACTCTCAGGGATAGATGACTATGACAGTGATAAAGTGAAGAGACGTCTACGTGAGCTTTTTGATCTAGACTACGCTAAATCCATTTACAGTTATTCTGTCAAGTAAGCAATCATCTACTTGTAAGTCAATGTCTGCAAAATCAGAAGTAGCTGTAAGGAGAGCGGAGGCTGCAGCAGAATTAGCTGCCAAGGAGGCAGAGTTTGAAGTATTCATAGAAGAAGAAAAACAAAAGGAAAGGATTCAACTTTTAGAAGAAAGACAGAGAAGGGAGCTTGAATCTCAAAAACGTGAGTTAGAGAGACTGAAGGCTGAAAGAGAGTTGAAGGCTGCACGAGCGAGGCTAGTGACTTATGATCAGGAGTTAAAAGGTGAGAGTGGTGTTCATGTCGACTGCAGCCGAGCAGATCAGAAGGCTCCCATGGTTTCTGCTTCTGTTCAAGACACCAACAGTAATGGTGTTTCCTCCTCACATCCACAAGCAGATATTCTTTATTTAGCCCAAGCATTACAGGACAATGTAGCTGTGAGTAGACTACCAATGCCAGAGCCCTTCATATTCACAGGTGACCCAATACAGTTTATTGAGTGGAAAGCTTCATTCACTGCACTAATCGACAAAAGGAACATCTCACCTGCAGACAAGTTGTATTACTTAAAGAAATATGTATCTGGTTCTGCTCAACAAACACTTGATGGCATCTTCTACAGAACTGACAGCAACGCATACAAAGATGCTTGGGAACGCCTCAACCAAAGGTATGGACATCCGTTTGTCGTTCAGAGAGCATTTAGAGAAAAGCTAGCAAAATGGCCGAAGATTCAAACAAATGATTCCGCAGGATTTAGAGCATTCGCTGATTTCATTCAAACCTGTAATGAAGCTATGCCCCACATAGAAGGGTTAGACATTCTCAATGATTGTGAGGAGAACCAAAAACTTGTTCAGAAGTTACCAAACTGGGCAGCTGCACGGTGGAATCGTCAAGCTACACAGCACATGAAGGAAAGTGGAAAGTTTCCAAGTTTAAAACACTTTGCTGAGTTCATGTCTTCTGAAGCTGAAATAGTGTGCAATCCAATAACATCATTTCAGGCTCTCCACTCTACAGACTTCACAAGAATCACCAGTAAAAGTTATCAAAAGGAAAAAAGACCCACCTCCAGTGTTCTCCATACACAGGTGGTAACAGAAAGGGAAAACACAAAACAAAGATCAAATGTTACATCACTGTGCATGCTATGTCAAGACAATGGACACAAACTTCAAAATTGCCCCCAGTTCAAAGGCAAATCACTGTTGGAACGAAGGAAATACATAAAGGATAATGGGCTCTGTTATGGCTGTCTGAAAGCTGGACACAGTGCAAAGGACTGTCGTTATAGACTTGTATGTGAAGTGTGTAAGAAAAAACACCCTACCTGTCTGCATGACTTCAACTATGAAAATGATAAATCAGCCACAACATCGATTCAGAACAACAGTGAACAGGCTGCAACTACTCTATCTCTCAATGCAGAAACCAACGGAACATGTGTAAACACTTCCATGATTGTACCCGTATGGGTTTCGTCAGAGCAACATCCAGGTAATGAGAAGCTTATTTACGCACTCTTAGACACCCAAAGTGACACAGTATTCATTGATCAAGATGTGTCTAATAATATCAAAGCTAAGTCTACTCCAATAAGGTTAAAGCTCACAACAATGCTTGGTAAAGATGCTGTTGTACCAAGTGAACGTGTCTCAGGTTTGAAAGTCAGAGGCTATAACTCCACAGAAATTATTAAACTCCCGCCTGCTTACACTAAAGACTGTATACCAGTTAACCGCTCTCACATTCCTTCCTGTGAACGGCAAGGCAATGGAATCACCTCAAGGTAATAAAGGATAAGATTCCTCCACAGCTAGAATGTGAAGTTGGGCTTTTGATTGGTTACAATTGTTCCAAGGCATTAGCTCCAAGGCAGGTAATCTTAGGAGGAGAGAACGAACCCTACGCTGTTCGCACAGCTTTGGGCTGGAGTATTGTAGGCCCCACATCATCTCACAGTGACACTCTTAGCATGTCTGTGTGTCACAGAGTCACAGTCAAAGAGCTCCCCTTAATGACTCCAGCTGATGCAATCAAGGTTCTCGAGTCAGACTTTAAGGATGATGACAAGGACAATAGATCAGTGTCTCAAGATGACATCCTCTTTCTGAACACATTGAGGGAAGGAATTCACAAAAACAATGAAGGACATTATGAAATGCCACTTCCATTTAAGGAAAGACCTTTCTTACCAGATAATAAACAAATGGCCGCTGTGCGACTTCGAAGCCTCAAAAACAAATTATTAAAGGACCCAAGGTACAAGGAGCAATATGTAAAGTTTATGAATGAAGTCATTGAAAAGGGAGATGCCGAGGAAGTGCACAGTGAAGCAAAGGAAGGAGAAAAATGGTATATTCCCCACCATGGGATATATCATCCCCAAAAACCAGACAAACTCAGAGTGGTCTTCGATGCCTCAGCAAAATACAAAGGAAATTGTCTCAATGATCATTTGCTTCCAGGTCCAGATTTATTGAACAATTTAAATGGTGTTTTGATCAGATTCAGACAGCATCAGGTTGCACTGCTATGTGACATTGAAAAATTTTTCCATCAGTTTCATGTGCATGAAGCAGATAGAAACTATTTCAGATTTTTATGGTGGAAAAATGGCAATTTGGACACTGTGCCCCAAGAATTTAGAATGAAGGTTCACATTTTCGGTGCCACATCCTCACCAGGGTGTGCCAATTATGGATTAAAGCATCTGGCTAAGGAACATGAGAAAACATTTCCCCTTGCATCGCAGTTCATAATGAAGGATTTCTACGTAGACGATGGCGTAACAAGTACTGCAAGTATCATGGAAGCTATTCAGCTCGCTCAGGAGGCTCAGACACTCTGTGCATCAGGTGGCCTTAGACTACACAAGTTTATAAGTAATGATAAAACAGTGCTAGAAAGCATTCCAGCATCTGAACGTGCCTCTTCACAGCAAACATGTGACCTTTCATTAAACGTCTCTAAACTTGAAAGAGCTCTAGGCATTCACTGGCACATTGACTCAGACACGCTCAGGTTCCGCTTCCACTCCAATGACCAACCTGCTACAAGACGTGGCATCCTTTCCATGGTTGCATCTCTTTATGATCCATTGGGATTCATTTCCCCCTTTGTACTCACAGGCAAAAGAGTGCTTCAAGAGGCATGCAAACAAGGCAGCAGCTGGGATGATCCCCTTCCCAGTGAACTAAGACCAGTGTGGGATAAATGGAAAGATGACCTAAAGAACTTGGAGAAAATCACAATACCCCGGTGTTATGTTCCTAAAGACTTTGGCCAAATAGTACAAACAGAGTTGCATCATTTTTCTGACGCAAGCTCATATGGTTATGGTCAGTGTTCGTACTTGAGGTATGTTAACGAAGATGGCAAGGTACATTGTGCTTTAATTACAGCAAAGACCAGAGTTGCTCCTATGAAAGTAACAACAATACCAAGGCTTGAACTTACAGCTGCTGTTGTCTCCATTACTGTAAGCAACATGTTAAAGGATGAGCTAGGATCGACACAGATTGACGAATATTTCTGGACAGACTCTAATGTAGTTTTAGGCTACATCAATAATGAGGCACGGCGTTTTCATACATTTGTCTCTAACAGAGTTCAAAAAATCAGGCTCAACAGTGCCCCCCAGCAGTGGAGATATGTTTCTTCTGAGAAAAATCCGGCGGATATTGCATCCAGAGGTTCAAGTGTAAGCGAGCTTATTTCATCAGACTGGTTCAAAGGGCCGCAGTTTCTGTGGAAAAAAGAAATCCCTCCAGCTGCAGAGGTTGACATTAATGTACAACTTGGAGATCCAGAGTTGAAAAGGGTACAGGCACTGAACACCCTCCAAACAGGGAAGAAAAGTTTATCAGACAGGTTAACAAAGTTTTCCTCATGGTACAAAGCCACGCAAGCCATAGCTCGTCTCATTCGTCGTGCCAAGAGAGATAAAACAACAGGCCACAGTACAGTGCAAGAAAGACTAAATGCCCAATGTCTTATTCTAAAGGACTTACAAGAAAGTGAATATATGGAGGAGATGAAGATGCTCAAGCATGAAAAAACACTTCCTCACAGAAGCAAACTGTTTGAAATGGACACTTTTCTTGATAGTGATGGACTCCTTAAGGTGGGAGGAAGGCTCAGAGATGCTTCATTTTCCTCCATGATAAAACACCCAGTCATCGTTCCAAAGGGTCATCATATTACTCAGCTAATAATAGCTCATTTCCACAACAAGGTGGCACACCAAGGAAAAGGACTGACAATTAATGAGATCAGATCAAATGGATTTTGGATTCAAGGGATGAACAAAGCTGTTGCAAGCTTCATACATCGATGTGTCAAGTGTCGCAAACTCAGAAGAGGCACAGAGGAACAAAAAATGTCTGATCTTCCAACACAGCGCTTGGATCCATCTCCACCATTTACATTTTGTGGAATGGACTGTTTTGGACCCTTTCTAACTAAGCAAGCTCGCAAAGTGCACAAGCGCTATGGACTTCTTTTTACATGCCTTTGTTGCAGAGCAGTGCACATTGAAATGTTGGATGACCTGACTACAGATTCCTTCATTAATGGATTACGCTGTTTTATAGCTATAAGAGGAGCAGTCAGTGAGATAAGGTGCGACCAAGGAAGTAACTTTGTTGGAGCTAAAAACGAACTGCAAGAAGCTTTAAAACAAGTAGACTCTAAACGGATTACCACCTTTCTTGCTGAGAAACAGTGTGACTTCAAAATGCACACTCCTCATTCAAGCCATACAGGAGGTGTATGGGAAAGACAGATCAGGACAGTTCGAAACATTCTTCGCTCAACGGCATCACTTTCGTCAGGCAGAATGGATGATGCATCATTAAGGACATTTTTCTATGAGGCAATGGCCATTGTGAACAGCAGACCTCTTACAGTGGACAGCTTAAGTGACCCAAACAGCCCACAGCCATTGACCCCAAATCACCTGCTTACTATGAAGTCCAAGGCAGCCCTGCCACCTCCAGGTAAATTCATCAAAGAGGACATTTATGCACGTAAAAGATGGCGGCAGGTGCAGTACCTATCAGAACAGTTTTGGTCACGTTGGAAAAAGGAGTATCTATCCAACATTGCAACAAGGCAGAAATGGCATACTCCGAGAAAAAACCTGAAAGTTGGAGATATTGTCATGGAGAAGATGGACGATTTACCTCGTAATGAATGGAGACTGGCACGTGTGATGGACACAGTGACAGACAAAGATGGACTGGTAAGAAGAGTTAAGATTCAGTTTGCAGAAAAGAAGATTGAGAAAGGACAATGTTCCAGCAAGCCTTCTATAGTGGAACGCCCTGTGCAAAAACTTGTTCTGTTGTTAGAGACTGTTTAAAAACATTCTAAAGTTTAAGGTTCTTTCTTATGGACTATGTGTTTAAAAGTCTTGACAGTTACAGGCCATTTCTTCATTAGGAAATCATTATTGCATTTTGTTAACAGTTATGCTCTAATGATTTGATGGGAGTATAAATGTCCTTATAACTAGAACCGATTCTGTCTCTTAAATTAATCCACAGTGTTTATTTTGCTCCAGCAGTAATGCAGCCGATGAAAGGCTCAGAGCAGGAAAGTGACGTGAATGGAATGTCACGGGGTGTATAGCAGTGGCGCGAACGCTGGCAGGCAGAGAGAAGCCATGTTTTAATGTAAACGAGAAAAGGCGTGTTGTCACGGAATACTCTTGATTGGCAAAGAGTCCTTAGCACCTGGTTGATGAGGGAACAAGGTTCGTATCAGTGTTTGTTTTTACAATGCATATTTAGCCATATTTCACAGAGCTTACAGGTCTGCTAAGTTATATTCATTGTAGTTACTTTTTTTGTCCACCAAACGGTGCTAATTGTCCCTGTTAAGATTGTCATTCTTATTCAGCAATACAAATGTTTGTGAATAGCAAATTTATATACCAAGTGAAGTCACAGATGGCTACATTATAATGCATTTTCTTTTATTTTATGGTACAAGGCATTGTAAAATACTATATTAAAGGGTTTAATAAATATACATTGAAAAATATGGTGATGGCATTAAAATTTAAGGATTATCCAGATTAAAAAGGATTGTAATAATTTAAGGTTAAAATGATTCATGGTAAATTGATTATGTAAAAAGGGTAAAAGTCAACATACTGTCTGAGTTACTAATGTGGATTTTTATTTGTGTATTTTGTAGCTCTTACGGTGTGTTCACAAGCAAGGCAAATAAATAAAAAGGAATTGTGAACCATCAGTTTGAGAGACCATCTTTTCAACCGGACGCTACAATATATTGTAGTTGAATGCTCCTCAGGGAATTTTTCCAATCTTTAATTTGATACTTTGGCTGAGATTAAAGCAGAGCAGGGACTCTAATTTAAGTGCAGGTTCACTTGTCCTTACTAAGTACATCTCACTCTCAGAAGAGAACGGAAAAAATAATTGAGGTATTTTGTAGTGTTGTCTGCAAACCTGAATTTTGATGACCTTGTTTTTCGGAAAGAAAAAACAAGAGTAAATATGCTCCCCTACTGTAAAAATTCAGTAATTTAGAATAATTTTTGAAAAGTGTAATCATTCTGGCAACACACCTAAAGCGAACAAAAATATGACTAATCCACACAGAATTATTCATTTAAACATTGATTTATGTTAATCATGATACTTTTCTGCTAATGAAAACCTGACATTTAGGATATCAAACCAATAAACAAGAGAAAAAAATTAAATGCAAAAATATGTACTTAAGAACAGTTGGAGGTTTGAAAAGATACTTTTACTGTGCCATACAAGCTTAATCTGTGTATTCTGCTTTATTGCATATGATTCTATATCTACATATATGACATGCTGTCACAAGGTGATACATTTGAAATCTCAATGACTGCAACTGCTTACATCACACAGATTGTAAAAGTAAATTTGTTAGAGAAAAAAAAGGTTAAAAACTTCAACAACTGCAAAAAAAAAACTTTTAATAAACTAGACAAGTTGTCCTTAAAAGTGAAATTTTCAACTTTTGTTAAAAGAGATAGCAATGAGTTTAACTCTTCCCGGCCAGTTGGTTGTGCAAGTTTGTTTAGTGCTGACCATGGTTGCATAACTAGAAATATTTAACATTTTGGACCAATAAAATTTTATACATCAGTTATTTATATACGATTGTATTCATTAACTTTTATACAGCACCATGCTAGTTGTTCTGTGTAAATATTGTTTTTGAAAAATCTATTGTTTTGATGAAAAATCTTTAAGACATCTGCCTAACACTTTTAGAAATAATTTCACAAATAAAAAAAAAGTGTAAACTCTATTTTAAAAACAAACTGTTAATGCTCAATAAACCAAATTGTTATTATCAAGGCACACAATGGCAGGTGTTAGAAAAACTGGTACATTGAGTTCTGGTGCAGCTGATATTGTACTTCAGCATGCCTAAAAAGTACAATAAGCTATCCATACCTGATTCCTTAGAAACTGCAAAGCAAGGACTCAGTCTTGGCGAACTGCTTGAAGATGTATGCCAGAGACATAGAGCAAAGCTTTCAGTTCCTTTTTTTTTTTTTATAAATAAAGTACGTTAAATTGTGCAAGAAAAATGAGGGGAATTAAACATGAAGTTTCTGTCACTCAACCATCCAAGGTGCACTCTCAGTGGGCAGGTGGAACAATACTGGAAGAGCATATGAGAGAAGGCTGCAACATAATACCAATGCTCAGTGGCTGGTGGATATAAGAGCAGACCACAGCAACCTTCCTGAATAGGTTTCAATAACCATTACAGGGGCAGATATCCAAGAGAGAGTCTAATACAGGTGCTGGTCATAAAATTAGAATATCATGAAAAAGTTGATTGATTTCAGTAATTCCATTTAAAAAGTGAAACTTGTATATTATATTCATACATTACATACAAACTCATATATTTCAGATGTTTATTTTGTTTAATTTTGATGATTACAAATGACAACAAATGAAAATCTCAAATTCATCATATCAGAAAATTAGAATATTGTGAAAAGGTTCAAAATTGATGGCCCCTGGTGCCACACTCTAATCAGCTAATTAACTCAAACCACCTGCAAAAGCCTTTAAATGGTCTTTCAGTCTAGTTCTATAGGCTACACAATCATGGGGAAGACTGCTGACTTGACAGTTGTCCAAAAGACGACCATCGACACCTTGCACAAGGAGGGCAAGACACAAAAGGTCATCGCTAAAGAGGCTGGCTGTTCACAGAGCTCAGTGTCCAAGCACATTAATAGAGAGGCGAAGGGAAGGAAAAGATGTGGTCGAAAAAAGTGTACAAGCAAGAGAGATAACCGCACCCTGGAGAGGATTGTGAAACAAAACCCCTTCAAAAATGTGGGGGAGATTCACAAAGAGTGGACTGCAGCTGGAGTGAGTGCTTCAAGAACCACCACACACAGACGTATGAAAGACATGGGTTTCTGCTGTCGCATTCCTTGTGTCAAGCCACTCTTGAACCACAGACAGCGTCAGAAGCGTCTAAAGAGAAACAGGACTGGACTGCTGGTGAGTGGTCCAAAGTCATGTTCTCTGATGAAAGTAAATTTTGCATTTCCTTTGGAAATCAAGGTCCCAGAGTCTGGAGGAAAAGAAGAGAGGCACTTCATCCACGTTGCTTGAAGTCCAGTGTAAAGTTTCCACAGTCAGTGATGGTTTGGGGTGCCATGTCATCTGCTGGTGTTGGTCCATTGTGTTTTCTGAGGTCCAGGGTCAACGCAGCCACATACCAGGAAGTTTTAGAGCACTTCATGCTTCCTGCAGCTGACCAACTTTTTGGAGATGCAGATTTCATTTTCCAACAGGACTTGGCACCTGCACACAGTGCCAAAGCTACCAGTACCTGGTTGAAGGACCATGGTATCCCTGTTCTTAATTGGCCAGCAAACTCTCCTGACCTTAACCCCATAGAAAATCTATGGGGTATTGTGAAGAAGAAGATGCAATACACCAGACCCAACAATTCAGAAGAGCTAAAAGCCACTATTAGAGCAACCTGGGCTATCATAACACCTGAGCAGTGCCACAGACTGATCGACTCCATGCCACGCCGCATTGCTGCAGTAATACAGGCCAAAGGAGGCCCAACTAAATACTGAGTGCTGTACATGCTCATACTTTTCATGTTCATACTTTTCAGTTGGCCAACATTTCTATAAATCCTTTGTTTTTATTGGTCTTCAGTAATATTCTAATTTTCTGATATGAATTTGAGATTTTCATTTGTTGTCATTTGTAATCATCAAAATTAAACAAAATAAACATCTGAAATATATGAGTTTGTATGTAATGTATGAATATAATATACAAGTTTCACTTTTTAAATGGAATTACTGAAATCAATCTACTTTTTCATGATATTCTAATTTTATGACCAGCACCTGTATATGAAGAGCTGGACAGCACTGGGATATGGCATTATTCAAACCTTCTGGCTATAGAAGCTAACTGCACTCCATACCTAACAGCACAAATGAACCTGCTGGTAATGGATAAACGACACTAGAAAGGAACTAGAAGATACAAGAGGAGCCACTGGATGATAGGAGAAGTGGCTGATATAACAAAGTCCTACCAGTGGCTGTACAAAGCTGGACTGAGAGAGCCAAGAGGAACCGACCATGACAAAACAGGAAAAAGCTCTAAATAAAAGATTGATAGAGGCTCAGGTGCAAGCTATGCGGAGAAGCCCTCTGACAATCCAGCACATCACAGCAGGGTGCAAGATGCTAGCAGGTATAGTATGGCATGAAACACCAATAACAAAGTGTCCAGCATAGTATACAGGATCATCTGTGCCAAGTTGGCCCCTGAAGTCCCAAGGTCACCATGAGATCCCCCACTGGTGGTTAAGAATGGCCAAGGTAAGATCCCGAGAGACTTCCAGATAGACAGAAAAACTGATGATGGCTATCCATCTGGACACAGTAGTGATGGACAAGTAAAGGAAGAAGGCTGCAATGTTGTAGCAATACTGAGTGAAAGTACTATCAGGAAAAAGAAACCAGAGAAGTTTGAGAAATACCAGGAGGTAGAGAAAATGTGGAAAGTGAAGGCAGCAGCACTCCCTGTGGCAATCGCAACACTCTGAGCAGTGACCCTTCAAACTGGGTGTGACGGCAGCAAATTTAAGGCACGACAACAAGAATACAAATGCCCTAACATTCATTGACGTAATTTTGGAGGCGGAAGCGGGGGACATGTCCCCTGCACTTTTTCAAACATCTGTTTCGGTCCCCCTGAAAGTTTTACTGTCCAAAAACATGTTATGCTATAGTACACAAGACAATCATCGAGCACTTGGACCAAGCGGAAAATCACAGCTGAAACTGAATGATGATGCACCACTGAATAGCTCTGTGATTGGATGGTAAAACATGCTGAAGTTAGTTATATTAAAGAAATACTTGTGTCCCTCCAAGTTCTGAAATCCAAAATTCATCCATACTAATATATATATATTTGCAATATGTCTTGCTGCAGCAAAGGCTGTGGTACTATCAGGTAGGGGTAATCCAGCCTTTATTTCTGTAGTGTGTGCTCAGCTAACAAGCTTTATTTTGTAGCTCTGTGTTCCACAGGCATCTTCATGAACAAGTGCTTTTCATATAATCACTCTCACTATAACAGCTTGGCTGTTACAGTACAGCTTTTAATGAATAAAATGTCAATAAGAAAAGAAAACAGCAGGACAGTGATTACATTCTTCACCGGAGGCAGGAAACATCTGTCGCTATAGATACTGACAGGTGCCTGTTGTGTCATTTTGCCTGCTGTGTGCCTGTATTTCTCTTGCGAATCCTATATTCCTGAGGCAACAAACAAGTTCCATAACACAAAAGACAAATTGTCTTCATTTTTAGCTTTAGTCTGAACACAAAGGTAGTACTTGTAACATAGACAGCTCAGATTTAACTAAAGATTTGACAACTTGCCTTAATAATACAAGATATAAGGAAAACAGCCAATATAAAAGAAGCATATATATATAAGCCAAGACGACGCCTTTTATCATTTATAGCTACACTGTGTTATCCGGTAGTCAGTTTCTAGAAATTTCTACTAACTGGTCATTTTCCTGTAATGCTGCATCATTATTTGTGGTGGTAGAGTTTCACAAAGGATTCAAGTTGTTTATCTTGGGAATGTAAATATTTTTTTTTTTTAGCATCCATGCTGCTTGTATTCCAAAATTAAAAAACGTAGCTGCAATTTCTAAAGGAATAACATTTCATCTTTTTCCACACTACTGCAATAAATCCTAAGCAGACGCTGTGCCAGCAGGATTCTTTTTATTATTCTCAGACTGATATGAAAAAGCATTTGCATTTTATTCAAAAAAAATAAATAAAAGTAACTTTCTTACTGTACAAACAGAAGTGAATGACAGTATAATAGTGCAAAACATAGCAGGAATTAAATGGGCAACTAAAGTAAAATTCAAAATTTTAAACATTAAAGTTAATGCAGCTTTGAGAGAGGAATGTTATAAAGTTTTTGTCACATTCAGACATATAAAACTTCCAATTAATTTCCATTGATGATTGATTCTTTAAGATTGATTCAATCAGAAATTAATACACTAATAAAAAAAAAAAAAAAAATGATCGAAACTGATATTTCCAATGTCTTGATTTTGCGATAGTAGCAGAAATATTGTGAAATCCAATTCTACAAATATATGGAATTCTATTAACTGTGTTTGTAATTTTGACGGTCCTGTTCACATGAAATTTACTCCATACATTGGTAACACCCCAAGTAATAAACAAAAAATACAAAAATGGCTGACATGAGTCAATTTTTTTAACAAAATATCTTTCCCTAATCCACACAAATTAATATTAGACGGTTTAGCCCCAATTGACCTATAAAGGGATAAAACATAGACCTTTGAAACCTCATTGCAAATGAAACTGATGTAAATGGTCTAGGCCCCCCATACCCCAGCAAACATCACTATAGCATCTTCCTGGAGTTTCTTAGCAAATATTAAACACGACCAGGTGCCCCTCAATGCATTTTTCACAGAAGGATTAACAGCTGATTAGAAACAATATGCAAAAGCCAAAGTCTATTTGCATTCAATAACCATGGATTCTAGATATTCTCAGTGCACAAGGCTGCACAGCAGAAAGAAAACTAAGTCAAAGCTTCCTCAAAGTTACTGTTACTTCGAATTCTCCTTGATAGTCGCGACGGAAATATTCTGATAAGAAAAACACTAATGAATTAGATTTTTTTTTTTTTTTCTGCTTTGAAAAACAAACAAAAAAACATTCATCTTCAATTCAACTTTAAGCTTTAGCTGAGCATTTTGCTGTAATTTGACTTAAATAAAAAAAATTCTTTTGCGATATTTTCCCTAAAACACAAGAAAAATAAGAACATCTGCACATACAAAACTGTCTTAGAAAAATGATGACAATTTAGAAATAAAATAACTAAAAAGTTTTTAAATGTTGGAATCTGAGACATTTGAGTGAGAGAGTGAACTTCTAACAGCTTTGCATGCTCAAATAATGCTTGTAAATGGTTTACAAATCCATGCATTCCATTAAAATCCTGCAAGACAGCATCCTTACCTACAGTATTTGGAAAGAGGATATAATCCTTTACTAATTGTTTTTTAGTAATTTGTATTTGTTTTAGCTGCAGTTGCAGCATCATCATCGTCATCATCATCCTGCTGGCCCAGTGTGCATACAGAGCGCTAGCTCAGTACAGCCAGAAGTGTGGACCCCATAAAGTAGACTCATCCAGCACAACTCCTCTATTAGGCTTGTCACACTTGCAAAGCTTGATTAATATTTACAGCTTAGACTCAGCAAGAGTACACAATGTGCACACTAATTACAGCAAAGTTCTTCAGGCTCCTAGTTGCAGGAGTCTTGCAAGTTCTTTCATACCGCATTTTAATTGAAGAATACATCAATTATTTCTTGTAATAAAGGCCAAACCATGTAAATGTTAGGGAGCGGAGATAAACTCATAGCTTTGGATATAAAACAGAACCTTGCATATTCTGAGCACACCAAACATGTATATGCTTGATAGAGAAACAGTCATGTCAGCAGCAGTTACTACTGCTCTTCCACAGCAAGATAAATAAAAAAGGGAGACCCAGGTAAAGTCATAAACTTACTGGAACAAGAAATTTTTTAATTTCCTCCAGGGCATGACTCATGCGAGAATAGGCCTCTCCCGGTGGAGCGAAGACTTCAATTAAAACGTGTAATTCATTACTCAGGTGGGTATATTTTGCCTCCCCGCTTTTTCGTAACTCTTCTTCCTGTAAAAATAAAAAAAAAAGTTGTCAACAAAGGAATTTAGATTTTTGAACAAAAATCTAATTTTCAGCCATTTTATAACACCTTATTTGACATAACCATACAGTTAGCTTTTTAATTTCCTTATATACAAACTATTAACACATAATATCGGATACAGAGCTTGCATTATCTTGCTTTAAAAATATCCTTTAATAAAGTAGGTTACTAAATTGCAAGATTGTTGTTATCAGGGAAACTGTTTTAATATAAATGTGCAATATTTTCTGTGGCCAGCTCTTCAAACAAAAATCTAGCAAAAAATGTTTTTTCTCCTATTCTAAAGACATCTGGTCATTAGATTGTTTCACTCAGCAAACATTTTTACTTTTCACTGAGTAACTTGGTAATTGAAATGTGGATACATTTCAGTTTTTCTTGATCTGTGGTAGGTTTTCAGAACTCACAAGATGTAAAATAATGTCAGGAAAACCACTAGGACTTTACATTGTATTTTGTAGAGTATTGTTTTGGGTAGATGATGAGTTAAATTGATACAATGTAGTGGCATTTTTGCTAATAAAACTTCTTTAGGCCAGTCTTCGCCAAGAGAACAAAAATCCTGCATCGGCCTGAAATGCAAATCCAATCAACAGCTTGGGGAGAAGCTATTTTCAGCATTATCATGCCAATGGCTACATTACTAACCCTGGCATTAAAAACGCCTCATGGACTATGTGTTGCTGATTTTAGGCTTTATAGCTGTTTCAGTGAAAGTTGATCAATTGCTGGAGACACCTTAGCAATCAATGTCACAGTCCATACTGATGGAAATTTTATAAAAATATAGATATAAATTTCTGTTTTGTTCCAATCTACTCATATGGAAAAGTAGAATAAGAGCTATTTGCCTACTATAGCAAGAAAACACTAACTTTGTTGCAGCTACAGTATCAACCATGGTGGTGGTATTATGGTAAATGGCCTGTACTTATACGTCAGGAGACTATTTACATTACATTCAGATATTCACCCATTCACTCACACACTGATGTTGACAAGCTACGTTGTAGACACAGCTGCTCTGGGGCTTACTGACAGAAGCAAGGCTGCCGTATACAGATGCGACCAGTCCCTCTGACCACCATCAATAGACATTGCGGGTGAAGTGTCTAGCCCAAGGACACAACAAGGCCGAAGCCAAGAGCCGGGGCTTGAACCAATAACCCTCCAGTTGCAGGGCAAACCCGACGCCACAGTGGCCCCAACATTATACTGATGGTTAGATTTTCTACTTGTGGTGGTAGTGCATTACATGAGGTTGTTGAAACGCTACAGATGGAAGATTGCCTACAAATCTTTAAACTTCACGTCAAATCCTCAAATTAACAGCTAGACAATTGAAACTGGCACAAACTGAGTGAGCACAAGCAAACACCAAAACCAATGGCAGACTAACCTTAAGTCTGAATAACACCCACATCAGGTCTACATAAACTGTATATTGTAATTACAAGTTGTGTCCGTACCACTTTAGTAAAATAAATAATAAAAAATTCACAAGACAATGAGAGTATGTAAGTTTTACACATCAACACTTACTGGAAAGGTTGGGTTATTTACTTAAGGACAAGTGGTTTCAGAAGAGAAGGGATTGTGTCACTCATGTAGTTCTTTCCCCTAATAGTGGATTCAAACTCTGTTTGGAACAGAGCTGTTTTTGCCCTTTGGGAAAGGTCATTTTTAATTAAAAGCACTCCAGGATTTTAGCAGTTGTGATATGTCTCTTAGATCACTAAGAATCAGATCAGAGCTTTGATGTACAGTATCCTCAGTGTTTTCTACACTGTCTCTGTAAACTGTTTTAACAATTTGCTAGTTGTTTAAGAGCAAAGCAGGCAACACCATACATTAGAGAGTAATTATTATTCCTGTAATATACTTGAGTCTTCAGTGAGTTTGAATAATTGTTTTCTGCAGAGGCTTTAGGGCATATGTGACCTTAAGGAAATTCAACCAGTGTGATTTACTCTAACCTTCACTATTTAATTTGCCTTGGGGAAAACATCTATATGTTGTGTTTTTTTTCGTATGATAATAGCTGATATATAATCATTTAATTCAAAAATACTTAATTGATCTCCCAAATGGAAATTAAAATCTTTTTTATTAAGGTAAGTTGTTCTGAGCTAAAATAAAAAAAACGAAATCGAAATATGGGGATATTCCTGCATTCATGCACTGTTCTGGAGAACTGAAACTGGCTGCAGGAAAAACAGCCATATGTGTGATACATAATTAGACTTTAGCTGTAAATGTTGGACTCTGTCAAGTGGCCAGCTGCCCCAAATGGCAGCATGGCTTTTATCCATGACCTCTGGATGTCAGTTGCATCTCCTTCAGATCTGTTCAGATAGCAGACAAAATCAATACCACAAGCAGAAAACACCTAAATCAGAACAGCATGCAGCTTTGTCTGCGGGAGTCTATAACTGAACATTACTCTCCATCAATAAAGCCTGTGCCTCTTCCACATTAGTTATCGTTGATATAAGTGTGCAATATCTAAAATGGATAAATTAATCAAGGTTAAAAAAGTGAATGCTAATTTATAACTAACATAAGAAGCCATATGATATACTTGCAAACACTTTATAACTGAAAAAAATAATAGTGGCTTTCATGCTAGTTAGATAATTTTAAAAGAAATATCAAAAGACAAGACAATCATAAAAAGATTTGATGGATTTATGTTGTTTTTATGATAAATCCTGGTCTTTCAAAGTTCAGTTAATACATTTTGTGATGGTAGGTGATTGCTCTTTTTATTTTTTGATATTGATTGTTATTTTTTCTGAACCTCTTAGAAAATCTCAAGGACTTGTGAGGCACAAATGGATACATAGCCCCGGCAGTGGGTTATGAGTTTGTCCAAAGAACTCCTGCGGAAGGAGAATGATTTGAAAACCTAAAAAAAGGAGAGGTATCCTGTTTGTATCCTGGTTGTATACCCAAACATGCTTCCTGACTCCTAACAAAGACAAGGGGCAGAATGACTCCAAGCGTATGTCCTTGCTTGACAAGCAGCCATGACTGCAAACAATGCAGCCAAAAACATATTGATTTTTCTTCCCCCCAATAACTGATTTTACTACTTCATCATTTCTATGGAACAGCACAAATAACACTTCTAGGCTTTATGGTATTGCCATTTTTTGTAAGTCTGAAGGATATCCGAGCTGCTGCTAGGAAAAAAAACAACAACAAAAAAACATGTGATTTACAGCTTTTTTTCAATCAGATCATAACAATGACTTGTTGCTATAGCTGAGACCGGAGGATGGATGAAAGTCTGAGCAGGATGCTTAAAAGTGAATTTCAATTATGTAAAGCCTGAACACGTGAAACTGCGAGATTGAGGAATCTTCTCTTACCATATATACAATTGATTCTAATATTTACAGCAAAGTATAAATATAATATAAGTCATAATACAAAAATGTGACTATTAAACCATCAGTTATTTCATAGATCTGAACTAAACTCAACAGAACAAGGTCTATGAGCTGAGGACATTCAAAACAGCAGCCGAAATGCTGCAGTCTGGTCCAAGAAAATATATGTTAATTTCAGAATTATTCTCACCATAAATAGCCTTTTTAATTATTATTTCACGACTCATGTTTTATTTTTCTATTTGCATTAATTTCATAGGAAATTATATAGACAGGAAATACTCATATGTCAAAATATGTCAGAAGAGACACAGGTTGTTTTAGGGTTTTCTGCTTTTTTATGAATACAGAAAAACATTTAATAGAACAAAAAAGCTTCACGTGTCGCCATTTAATGTGCACAGACTGCAGTTTCTTATCCAAAATGAGAATTATAGATTTTATTTGATCATTATCAACTCACTACACACATGCAATTGCCACATCCAAAAAATAGAAAAAATGTATGATATATATTTTGTTACTATTGGTTTGTGAAAAACCAGCAGGCTATAGAGTTACCTCAGTTCTCTTTCTGATCTATACCAGCTCTTTTTTTTTTGTCCCACAGTTTTGCTGTATTGAGATGTCTATTGTTTTGTATATTTTCTTTTTTTCATTTCCACTAATGCATACAAGAATGCTGAAAGAATGCTGCATTTATGTATTATTATAAAGCACAAAGCTCCATTAAGCTGTCGGTAGTCACATGTTCATCTGATAAACCAGGCAAGGATTATCATGTTGAAAAAGTCCTCATGTCTTAGTGAAACTATTAATTATATGTACTTTAAAGCGATTCTTAAAGCCCCTGTAGAATTTTCACAGCTATGTGTTCTTGTTGTAATGAAACAAAGAGCTCCAGTTGCACTGAAGAGATGCATAGGCTGCATGTTTTCTTTTCATGTCAATATGTCAGAATCAAATGCACGGAAATAATAGCACCGTAACTGAATAGGAGCACTCTAAGAGCTGTTATAAGCACGAGTAACAGACTCAAAGGCAGTCTGTCCTCACGCCTGGTTTGATCCCAGGGGACCACAAGTCAGCTGGATAAATGGCTCTGTCAGAGAGATTCATTGCTTTGGATTCCTGATTAACAATTACTGAAAATGCAACGAAACAAGATGAGAGGGAAAATGGATGTTGTTTCCCTTTTAGATTTGTAAAGAGAAACATACATATATATTTTCTTTTTATATGCAATGATTCTTTTGTGATAATTACAAAAATGTGACATAAGTGCAATACACAGTGCAATATATCTTACTATACATAAGTATTAGATAATCAAACATAATACCAGAAAAAGATGACCTGAGTTCATACAAAACCAATTTCCTTCATAGAAAAATAGGACTACTTCTTTTTTGCACAGCTTACATGTGATTATTTGGTTATCTGTAGAATAAAGTAAATCATTAAATAGCACCTATTTGACAACATGAACTTAGCTTAAATGGCTCAGAAGGTATGCCCCATCTATTGAAATTCAGGAATACCCTTGGAAATCAAGTAATTACAAGTTTTTCTTTTTTTACATTATCCTGTTGGGATCCCCCCCCCAACTCCTGTCACTGCCCTCCCCTGCTCTAGTCTTTCCCTAGAATATGTTTTGATTTATTTAGCATTTTGATTTTTTGAAAAACAACAGATCCCAGCCTTTTTTTTTTTTTTTTTTTTTACCCGGGCACAGTAAACAATAGTAATATATTCTAGCGCAAATGGAGAACAAAACTGATCAATTCTACCATCCAATAATGTCACAAGACGCCTCCTGGTTGGCGATGACAAACTTGCATTCTCTTGTTTATTTAAAGGGTGCAAGGTTGCGCAACAAACTGTTGTTTACAAGCACCATGCTATATGGTCTACATGTCATCCATCAGATGCAAAATTGGAGACATTAGGGGACGGTTTTCTCTGTTTATAGGTTGTTCAAAATGTGATAGACTTTAGCTACTGCTCACCACAGCCTACAGCTACAGCCACAGGCTCTGTGTCTGTGGTAATCATTATCTCTCACGCAGCCAGTGGGCAACCCTCACACGCCGACCACGAGACACATGAATTTAAACACTTGCACATGCTTATACATATTATTCACATATGTTCCTCAAAGGATACCTTGTATGCTGCAATGTCTCCACAAAGAGATCAGTATTGTAGAAGGTTTGTGCAGGATTCAGCCAACCTTCTTTCAAGTATTAAGGTCAGTGTGTGACTCAAACAGAAAAGGGAAAACAACAGCCCAGCTTTATAACATTGCCTAGATTGCCCTTTCATCACTATCAGTAATGTTACGCCATACCTGTATAATCAGTATATTTAATAAATTAAAATAAATAAAATCCACCAGGAAAAAGAAAAGGTTTTTTATTGCAAAAGACACATTTTTGAAGAATCTGTGTTCAAAGTTAAAAAGATAACATACCATTTGAAAAAAAAATTACAGCCCCTGTTCTGCCATTCTATTTCTACATTATTAGCTTTTTTCTCCAGCTCAAGAAAAGTACAAAAAAGTAATTCACTCAGTACTCACTCACCACAATCTCCCCATTGTGGGACAATAAAGGGATTTTATATTGTATCCTATTCTACACTTGTGTCTTCAGCGCTTTCTTTATGTTTTTTTTTTTTATTGTTTTTGTGTCATAACTTCAGTCGCTGCAATTTGTGATGTTTATTGATACTGTTTAAGTAGCTAAGGAGGCTATCAGTTGTGGTGATGGAGTTAATGCAGAGGGACGAGACAAAGCATTAGGAGTGAGGTGGAAGAGACAGAAGAGTAGGAAGGGGGTGATGAGGAGGAAATGATAAGGAAGGAGATGAAGCAGGAGGGTAGAGCAGGAACCTTTACAAAGGCTGCATGTTGGCCAAATATGCCAGGCATTTATATTGATCACTGAAAAGAAATACTGGCTGCTTCTACTTGCTTCCATGAACTCTGATCTTCTTGAGCAGGGATTCAGCCGGATCCTTCACATACAGTCCAAGGGCCACAAACACTTGAACCTGGCGGCTTTAGGGGCACTAAGGTTAAAACTTACCTACCTGCACCGTGTACTAAAAACTGTTCAGAAAGTAACACCAGGAAGCTTTCCAAGGTTTTAATTTATTCCCTACGATTGGTAACCCAGCCTGTCTGCTTTAGCGCTTTTAAACTGCCAAGCTGTTTTCTAATGGAACAGTTAATATAAATTATTATTTGTCACTGGAAGCCATCTTAGTATCAACAGTGACTGTCAAAATGGATGGACTTAAGCCGAAATATTTCAAATAGGAGCCCCCTACATCTGTAAATAATAAACAAAAATATGCTACAAGCGCATACAACACCATTCATAATCATATATAAAAGATGCATACACACACACCCACAAATAAACAAGCACGCTTAAGTTTGTTTAGGTGTATATATATATATATATATATATATTTGAAGAACAGTATCTGCTCTTCTTCTTATTAAATATGTTTTAATTAAAAATTTTTATTTATTTGTCTTTTTTTTTTTGCCCAACGCTCTGAGCATAGACTGCCCTAAATCAACTGTTAGATTTCAGGGCTAATTGTTATTTAAAGGGCCAGTTTAGGTTTTTGTTTAATAAATCAAATTATCACGCAGTGCTTTTAAATATTTGTTTAGGTTATCTTCACCTGATAGTAATTCTAGCCCATTTATAGTTTTAGCCATGTTACACAGTTAAATATTCCATGGTGCTTTAGTTCCTGTAAAAATTACAAGGGCAGCCAAAAAGTACATTTCAGCACAAATCAATATGTGTCTTACCTTCTCTTTATCCCTCATAGACCCTTTGCCAAGGATGGACATCTTCACTCCTGTCTCCTCTTGTAATCTTTTCATAGAATTCCCCCGCGGTCCAAGCAGCTTCCCTACAAAGTTAAACTGAGACATACAGTAGGAGAGAAGAAAAACATTAAGAAACAAGCAGCTGACTGATTCTTTCAATACATTGGCAGAGCCCAAATGTTAGAAAAAGCTAAGTGATTTAAAGAGGAATGTCACTAAATGAGTGTTGGATGTAATGCAAATTTGATCTTTCCAGTAAAAGGGTTAACCATAAAAGACATTTGCTGGCCATTAGTCATTTTGTATCAATAAAATCTCACATTCCAGTCGCTGTGAGAGAAAAAGGCTGTAATGTAACCTGTAATAAATCAATATCCTTTTGGTCTTTGCAGCGTGCATCAAAGGTGAGTGTGATTCTCATCTGCACTCCAGGATGACATACGTGTGCATCCCTCAACTGGACTATGCCCTTGCTGGTGATGTTTTGTATCAGCATTCACCATCCATGTTGTATTGCTGGAATAAAAAAAGAGGGCACATGGACTCAAACCAATACCGTTCTCGAAACAACTCCAGAGGTCAGCACTGAGATAAAGTCAGAAATAATGAGTTCCCATCCCAGTGGGAAATTAAGTTATACTATCCAGATGACAAACCGTTAGATTCAAGCCTCCAGGCGCTGTCTATCATTTGCCTTCATACTATGCACCAGCTCAGGTTCATGTAAAACTATTGCAAAAGTATTCATATAATTTAGAACATTTTCCAATTTCTGGTTTTCTACAACCACAAACCTTGATATTTTGTGACAGATCAACACAAAAGAGCACATAACCTATAAGTAAAAAGAAAAAGATACATGGTTTTCGAATTCTTTAAAAATGAAAGCTGAGAAGTAGATAACAGGGTTATCTACTGAAATCGGCAGTCTATGAATACAGCATTTGTCCATGACTGACTTTCTGGGTTTTATGTAGTTAGCAAAAAACATTGTTATAAGTTTGTGCAGGCATCAGTTGTGGGCATATTTGTCTGTCTTTCTGTTGCTTATTTAAATATTGATATAGAAATTAAAAAATATATTGTGGTATAAGTTTTGGCCATATAAACCCAGCTCTAATTTAGTCTAATTACTCTGCTACCCTTAAATAAAACCAGAGCTACCAATTGCTCCCACTAGATGTGAGCTGTTTCAAAAATGGAATCAATCTTTGAGTTAATTAATCACAGTATACAGTTTATTGTTTTCCTAAGGTAATGGATAAAAACATTAGTGAATAAAAGGCATTATGTTGTGGGGAAATTTGAGTTTTGACATAAAACAAGATCCCGGTGCCTGAAGAACACAGACTTGTGTGATCTACCATCTTAAAATGAATGGCACAACTGGAAACCTGTCTGGACATAAACCTTCTCTACTACAGTACATTATTAATCAGAGAAGCAGCCTAGAGACTAGATAACTAGAGACGGATAACTCTGGAAGAGCTGCAGCAATCCACAGCTCTGGTGGAAATCTATCTACACAACTATTAGCCATGCTTCTCATGATCTAGAGTTTTATAAAGGACCGGCGAGGAAAAAAAAAAGTTCTTTATTCTGGTTAGATAAGAGCAATATTATACAGTTTGGTTTCTTTGTAAAGTGTTTGTAGTGAAAAGAATATATATTTTTCTCATTTCTTATCAGAAACAAGCTGAAATATAGTTTGTCTTTAAAATCTTATGTATGAAATAGTTCGATTTCGTGTAGAAGGGAACTGCTGTAAAAGGAAAAGATTTGACACTTGGCCAAAGTGATAATATTCCAGCAGGACGATTACCCTAAAGCAGAAAAACAAGAAATTGGATAGATAACAGGATGCTGATATTTGAAAAAAGTAATTTAATAATTCAGACAGAATCACATTAAGAACGTTAATTTTGTATCTATATCTATATCTATATCCTTGAGACCATCTACAGTTGAGATGGTCAACATAATAATAACATATGGACTGTCCTCACAAACACACATCCATAGAGCTAACACCACTTAAACGCACTTTCCATCTAAAGCTGTATATAATCTGTAAATCTTTTATCTGCTATTATCTTTCATTATTTACCCTTTATTAAACCATCACTAAAACATATATATAATCCATATCCTAACTTTCATGTATAATCTTTATATAGTTTTTATATTTTTTTTATTTTATAGCCTGTTACAATTACTCTCTCTCTGTATACATTTATAGTCAACACATACATAATCTCTGTGCACATGTAAATAAATATTTCTATCCTGTTTAGCACTTCTGGATAGATGGAAACTACACCCCGTTGCTTTGTATTTGTGGCAGTGTAATTACAATAAAGTTTAAGTCTATCCTTTTCTATTCTATCAAAGGTTTTTGGTGGAATTGTTTCAAAATAAGTTCAAGAAGTATGAATAATTTTGCAAGCCATCACTCTGGGTCAGAGATGGGAAGTAACGAAGTACAAATACTTTGTTACTGTACTCAAGTAGATTTTTCTGATATTTTTACTTTACTTTACTACTTATTTTTATGGCGACTTTTTACTTCTACTCCTTACATTTTTACACAAATATCTGTACTTTCTACTCCTTACATTTTAAAAAATTGACTCGTTACTTTAGTTTTGAATCATTTCAATGGAGTTACCGTTATTATTTTTCACGTCATCAATACCAAATTCAATCTAATTGGATGGGAATCTACGTTGCATTTGACGCACCACTACAAGATGAATGGACAGATTCGGCAGTATTCATTGGCGGCAAATCATTGCAGCTTGGTGGCGGTGGCGTTAGCATAGTAGCATGGACGACGAGATGATTTGAAAATAAACACAACGGAGATCTAGTCCTATTGGCAGACATCCATTTAAAATGTAGGCAACGGCATGAAAAAAGTGGTTTCTACTTTTACTTTTATACTTTAAGTAAATTTACAAGCCTGTACTTTGTTACTTTTACTTGAGTAAAGAAGTTTAATCAGTACTTCCACTTTTACCAGAGTATTTTTTAACACAAGTATCTGTACTTTTACTCAAGTACGGAAAGTGAGTACTTTTGCCATCCCTGCTCTGGGTTATTGGTAGGATGAGCTGTGATTAATTTAATAGGTAAATTTATAAAACAATCTCAATCTCAATAAACTTTTAGGCCAGAGGAAACAAAGTTAAAGTGTTATGATATGAAAAACATTTCTGACTTTCAAAAGTTAGTTGCCTGATATAATATAATAAAAGTTCATCTTCAGAGCTGAACAGGTGGTCAGTCGTTCTCTCTGCAGCTCACTCTGGCTAACCCCTAAATGAAATTAACCTTCGCAGAATGCATCATATCCTGCTGTGCATGAACAGCTAATAACTCACTGCCAGCTGTGTGTGGCTGCTTCAAGTCAACTTCAATAACTGCACACTCAGCTTCTTTCATGAACATCATTAACATCTTGAGTGAGTAATGCAACTCTGATAGGTAAAAGCCAGGGGTGCATAGATAAAGCCAATAAAAATGAAAAAAAAAAAAAAAATACAGGAAAAAAAGGCAACGGGAAGCATTCTTGCTGTCCTTGCTTGTCTTCTGATCTCAGTGATTAAGGCACTTCTGCTGATGTCTTCCATCACTGGTGCTGCTGTGACAGGACTATCCTTTGGCTGGCAGGGAGCTAAAGAGCAGATGGCCGCTGCAGTTACAGCAGGAATAATCTCACTGGGCGGTAGTAGAAGAGTGGCCTGTTTTCATTAAGCTAATGAATGTCTTGAGTCTGTCCGCTGCTCCACTGTGAGCAATTTAAGCTCCAGAAAGGGTATGTGTGGTGTTAAATGAGGTTTGAAATGATGATATGTACCCCCTATCGTCTCAGCAATGATAACGCTGCAGATATTAGAAGAAAGCGTGTTGTGAATGCAGCAATTATGCACAAAAGAGTCTTTAAACAATGAACAAATATTACATTACAAAGTGGGCACACAGTTCTGCCTAATGTGTTTAACTGAATACATTCTCCAAGAAATCAAAATATTTTACTGAGAGCCTGGAGAGATAATTTTAATATATTTAAATGTCTAAGCCTTTAAAGCTAATTTTAGATGCAGTTCTATGTGGAAAGGGCATAAAACAGTGGCTGGAGGTTAAGTCGCATTGCACCAATGTGAATCTACAAATTTGACAATGCAGCTGAGCAAAGCACATTTTACCAGACACTCTATGCCTGAGGCATTTTTTTTTTGCATGTGTAATTTTGACCAAAGATCCCATTGACTTCATAGAAGAACAATCCTTGTCTTACAGTGTGCAATAAGACAAAAGACAGGCAAACGGAAGCTCCCCTATAGCAGTTACACTAAACAGATACAGAATATGTAACATAACAGAAAGTAATCTGCACAAAAAGTAATAAAAGTACTCAGAATGCATCTTACCTAGAAACTTTCATTTAAGACATCTGTTGTTGTCTGAGCAATACATTTGTTGCAGATTTCAATTTGCAATGCCATCTATTCTGTCACAAATTTTATTTATTTTATTATTTGCTGCACTACACACAGTTTGCATTTACAGTATGCTAAAAAGGAGCTGAAAGTCTTTGTGACTTTAGAGGAAGCATGTTTAGTCCTGCAGTGAAGCATTTGGAATGTACAACTCCCCACTGATTCCAACAATCATCACAAGATGTTTGTGGCGAATTACTGTTGAAATTAGATATTTACATGCACTTTAAGCTTATGTTGTGCATGTATCACACAAAGTTGTTCAGTTTGGGTGTAGTTAAGATTACAATATTATTTTTAATTGTCAGAAATTATGAAAAGAACATAAGCTTTTTTTTCCTGTTATCTTTGTTGACCAGACTTTTAAACAACTTAAAAGGTTCAGTTGATAAGGTCTTGGCTTCTTTGAATTAAGAAGATGATTACTTCTAAAAACATTTTAGGAAAACACTCAAACACATTGCTATCATGGGTGACATAATGGTATAATAAAGATACGTCAGCCGGTATAACTATTCAGACGGGAGATACGTTAAGTATCTCAGATATATTCACATATTGACATGAAATGTAATATTAGGAATTAAAGATGAT